TGGTAGAAAGGGCATGCTCGATTGTAACGGGGTTATGCTCGATTGTAACTGGGTTATTCTCGATTGTAACTGGGTTATGCTCGATTGTAACTGGGTTATGCTCGATTGTAACTGGGTTATGCTCGATTGTAACGGGGTTATGCTCGATTGTAACTGGGTTATGATCAATTGTAACTGGGTTATGCTCGATTGTAACTGGGTTATTCTCGATTGTAACTTGGTTATGCTCGATTGTTGCTGGGTTATGCTCAATTGTAAATGGGTTATGCTCAATTGTAACTGGGTTATTCTCGATTGTAACGGGGTTATGCTCGATTGTAAATGGGTAATGCTCAATTGTAACTGGGTTAAGCTCGATTGTAACGGGGTTATTTTCGATTGTAACGGGGTTATACTCGATTGTAACGGAGTTATTCCCGATTGTAACGGGGTTATGCTCGATTGTAACTGGGTTATTCTCGATTGTAACGGGGTTATTCTCGATTGTAGCTGGGTTATGCTCAATTGTCACTGGGTTATTCTCGATTGTAACTGGATTATGCTCGATTGTAACTGGGTTATTCTCGATTGTAACGGGGTTATGCTCGATTGTAACTGGATTATTCTCGATTGTAACGGGGTTATGCTCGATTGTAACTGGGTTATTCTCGATTGTCACGGGGTTATGCTCGATTGTAACTGGGTTATTCTCGATTGTAACGGGGTTATGCTCGATTGTAACGGGGTTATTCTCGATTGTAACTGGGTTATTCTCGATTGTAGCTGGGTTATGCTCAATTGTCACTGGGTTATGCTCGATTGTAACTGGGTTATTCTCGATTGTAACGGGGTTATGCTCGATTGTAACTGGGTTATTCTCGATTGTCACGGGGTTATACTCGATTGTAACTGGGTTATTCTCGATTGTAACTGGGTAATTCTCGATTGTAACTGGGTTATGCTCGATTGTAACTGGGTTATGCTCAATTGTAACTGGGTTATGCTCGATTGTAACTGGGTTATGCTCGATTGTAACTGGGTTATGCTCAATTGTAACTGGGTTATGCTCGATTGTACCTGGGTTATTCTCGATTGTATAGGGGTTTTACTCGATTGTAACTGGGTTATGCTCGATTGTAACGGGGTTATTCTCGATTGTAACGGGGTTATGCTCAATTGTAACGAGGTATGCTCAATTGTCACTGGGTTATGCTCGATTATAACTGGGTTATGCTCGATTATAACTGGGTCATGCTCAATTGTTACTGGGTCATTCTCGATTATAACTGGGTTATTCTCGATTGTAACTGGGTTATTCCCGATTGTAACTGGGTTATCCTCGATTGTAACTGGGTTATTCTCGATTGTAACTGGGTTATACTCGATTGTAACTGGGTTATGCTCAATTGTAACTGGGTTATGCTCGATTGTAACTGGGTTATTCTCGATTGCAACTGGGTTATTCTCGATTGTAACGGGGTTATTATCGATTGTAACTGGGTTATGCTCGATTTTAACTGGGTTATGCTCGATTGTAACTGGGTTATCCGCTGCTGTAACATATCAACAGGGTCATTACATGTGTGCTTAAAGACGTAACATTGCCATCTTACTAATAAATTTTGCTCGTCATCTAATATGAGTCAGCAATAATTTGCAGCAATAAGGTTTGCATAATCCTCTGAAAAGGGATTTGAAACGGTGAGGAATACCTGTTAAGCGAACATGACAAGGAGACATGACAAAACAAAGGGTTTAATCGTAAAAGTGGTAATTTTCTTTTTCAACTTTAAATGCCATCATCATTTGCTTGTTGTTTATCGTCGATGAGCACTATTCCAGCTGTATGGCAGTTGTAGGTAAGTGATCGAGTTATGGACCAGACAAGACGCATCACTGATGTCATTCAATGCCATCGTCCCACGCCGTCGGGGTACGATGACAAGCAGTCAACCAAATCACCTGGCCACCCGATCTATCAAGTCGCCTCGTACTGCCAGCATACGTTGCTATAATATTCGAAATCTGAATCGCAAGGAGTCTACATTGGCTGACTTTAGTTTCCAAGATGAGTCGGCATAAGTTTATGTTTGTGATGGCTGTGGGTAGGTCATGGTATTCGCTTGTATTCTCTCAGGGCAAAAGGAGTGAGTAAGTTTGATTTTACGCCGCTTTAAGCAATATTCCACCAATATCACGGCGGGGGACGCCAGAAATGGGCTTCACACATTGTACCCATGTCGGAATCGAACCCGGGTCTTCGGTGTGACAAGCGAACACTTTAACCACTAGACTACCCGGCCGCCCCCAGGGAAAACTAACTACACGAAGTAAGATATGATGATCGTTGAAAGAAGAGACCATACAGTTGAGAAATGATAGATGTCATTTCACAATACGATGTTTTGCATAAGCCTAACAAATTATTCAATGGAAAGTTGATAAAATAATGCGTATCGGGGCACAATCCTGACGTGGGGTACGTTGTCCGGTATTCGATCATTCGTTGTTTACAGTATTCCAGTTATATCACGGCGTGTCAGCTTAATGTGGGAGGAAAGCCCGAAGTGATGCAGGTCTCAGACGTTTACCACTTCGGTGAAACCCACGAGCGAACGGACCGGGATTCGAACCCGCAATTATAGGTTTCTAACATGCCCAAGGGACGCAACTTGGTCGACTGGGCCACCTGTTCTCCCCGATCATTCATGACACATCGATCACATTGCTGACTTTGAGAAAGTTCATGGTTGCTGTCCTCCTGGAATATTGCCCGAAGATGTTGTAGCAACGAGGCGAATTACGTCATCTATGGGATTGGCGTTGAAAACTACGATATCCGTGGTCTGCTGTCCACAGATACCGTCAAAAGTCATGAAGCTACCGCCGCCGAATGGCACGACCTCCCGAATGCAACAACGTGCCTCGACCGAAAAGCTGGAATCGAATTTCGGCAGGACAGACAACCCGTTTCCAATTTCTGTTCTGCCAATGTTCTGCTGACCGTCCGTGACCACCTCTCCCCCCCCCCCCCAAACCACCCCGACCTATCCCCAGAAGACAGATCCACTGCTTTTATACCATACCAGTCCCAATAACATCGTTTTTCACGCGCATCAAGTCATTTTGCACGAGATTCCGTGACTAGATTGCTGCTTTCATACATTCGTGTTGGTTGGGTTTAGGTGATGAATGTTTCAAATTATTACTTAAGTCTGGTATATGGGGTAGTTTCTTTTGCCCATAAGTGTAGTTGAGATTTTGTATCGGCAGTACAGTTACAGCCCTTCATTAATTTCTGTTATTGGGCGTACCATTGATTATTACATCCTAAAACCCTTCGCAACAGACAAATCGTAGGGTAAAAATCTATATATGCCTTTGTAATGCAGTATAATGCATTTCTAAATGATACATATTTTGATAAACGATTTTACATGTTTGTAACTGTTTGTTTTATAAAGATGCTTTTAAACCGTCACCATCATCGTATACGCAGTCCATTATCTTTGAGGACTTCATTTTGTTATACAAAGAATAGTTTCAATGAAATATTGAATTGGTTTTGTAGAAAATGCCAAAACAACGAACACACCAAATAAAACGAAAATGATCAGTGCGAGATATTGGTTTTTCTTTGTATCAGAATAACACATAATTATAGAAAAGGGGTTCTAATGAGTGTCTACACATTTAACGATCTTTTCCTCTATCGAGTCATCACAGCGATAACGTCAGCTATACAGCGGTTGCGTCCATTGGCTGCCATGACATGCTGTTCATTGATGTAAGGTTGGAACCGTTTGATGAACCCAGCAGGGATTCCAGAGACATAACTGGAATACTGTTAAAATCGGCGTTAAACCCAACTCACTCACTCACTATTGATATAAACGTTAATACCTTTGAGCCTCTGTCCTCTCTTTTTCACATCCAATCTATCTCTCGGATCGTGGAAGTTGATAGGGGATGTGTTACGTATTGCAGGGTGGGTTGTTGATCTACAAATGTACAGAAAATAACTACCCTCCCCTAACGCTTGTCATATTTTTGGATGACCCTGCCTATGTCGGGTACATTTTTGCATGACCCTCTCTGAAAGACAACATGCTACAATAACTTTATAGTGTAATATTAGTTAATAGTTTATATGGTCCATTTTGTAATCCTCCTGCTTAAATATGTGTGCTATTATTTTATTACCCTCTCCTTGAGACTGTCATATTTTTTGGAGACCCTCCCCGATTTCCTCTGACCCATCGCTATAATAATTGACCGGTCCCGAACTATAGTCTTTGGTTTATTGCTTCTAAAATTGTTAATTCTTCTAAAACTCATACCGTCAATCTCCGATTCCTGGAATTCTAATTTCACACTAGTCCGGACTTGTGCCGGTTTTATAGTGCTAGCCCACTGAGATATCAAGCCGCAGTTTGACATAGATATCACTCTCAGACACAGTATACTATCTCCGAGACGACCAGTCCTTGTTTTATCCCTCTAATGCCGAGGCAGGGTAACAACAAGTACCATCGTGTGTGTGTGTGTGTGTTCTTGTATAATATGGAATGTTTAATGTAGTTTTGAGTCACCAATATACCAGCTATATTGCGGACTCTAAATAATGAAGCCTGGGTGAGACAACCAGTGACTGAAAACATAGTAAACGACCCATGCCGTAGGGTCACACCAGCCAGGATACTTCCAGAGTTCTCCATATGCTGGGACTTGCACTGCACCGGGCACCTCTCTGATTCATGAGACGTATAACAAGTATGCAGGGTTTTACTGGGCGTAGACTATTTCGACCTGTACGCATACAAAATACGAATTAACGAAACTAATTTAACCTGCGAGTCATGTGGGTCGCAAAACGTATGGTTATATGTATCATTAGGCGTGTCAGTGTCAGTAAAATTCTTGAAAATCAGAAGTGCCACCTGTGGCTGACTAGGGATCTCATATTGTTTCCTGAAACTCCATAAATGTCGAAATACATCAAAATGTAAAAGCACACAGACTAATTGATAAATATTTTTATTAATCTAAATATAGTTTTCTCCCTAATGAAATTACCACAAAGAAAGAACAGATGGAGGTGTCATTCTTCAGTGAGAGAGAGAGAGAGAGAGAGAGAGAGAGAGAGAGAGAGAGAGAGAGAGAGAGAGAGAGAGAGAGAGAGAGAGAGAGAGAGAGAGAGAGAGAGAGAGAGAGAGAGAGAGAGAGAGAGAGAGAGAGAGAGAGTTACAGTGTGTTAATAACAAGCAATTGTTACTGTACATTCATAACAACCCACAGTGTCACCACTTGTATCTTGGGATGGTGGTTGGGATAATATCAAACAAGTTAATAATGACTGGTTGTCAATTAAAATACCATTTACAACATCAACATTTTACCAACAATAAAGCTACAAGCATATCTTCACGAACCTTCACGGAGTTCTTCATTTTATTTCCTGAATTTATCCCTGAATCTGTCTTCAAACACTCTCCCCTTAATAATTCCAGCCCTTTTTTTGTTTATCATGTCGCCTTCTGGTTAAACCATTCTTGCTCGCGGAAAAATGAGCAATATTTGTTATAAAGGGTATCGTACGTTAATCAATCCGTTAAAATGTCAAGGGCGGCGTTTCTGTTTGAGGCAGGCACAGCATTGACTGACGGCGATGAAGATGAGCTCCACAAACTCCATGAGAGACACGAGACTGAAGCCCATAAACAACCCAATCATTCCACCGATTGATCCTGAAACAAGAGCAGTCTGTAAAACTACACGGTTGGTGCACATCAGGCGTTTACTTGAAAATATTTGTTATGTCACATATGGTTTATGTTCCCCACTTTTTGCCTTTTGCGTGTTGTATTTACAAAGAGTACACGTTCTCTGCTTTCTCTCCCTTAACTTATAATAGGAAATAGATAGATATGCTATTGACGTTTGGCACGATGTAAATATGAGGATTTTATTTGCCAAAACCGTTGGAATTAGATATATGAAATTACATGATGTCACATTTTGGTTTTGGGACTATTAATCAGTCGTTATCATGACTTAACATGAAACATTTGTCACTTGTGTTACAAATTTCCTTTTTCCTCGAATGTGCAATGTACTTTACGATGTGTCGTTAAGGTGAAGTAATGGTGCCAAAGTGACTAAGTACAGTATAGTACGTTATAACGAACTCACAGGGACCACTAAGTTTAGTTTGTTACAACCGTAGTTCGTTATAAGCATGTTTACAACATTTTATATATATCAATGGCCGGGAAAAAAACAAGAGTTCGTTATATCCGTCAGTTCGCTATAAGCGTGTTCGTTACAAACGTAGTTTACTGTATGAAAATTTGGCAATTTATATTTGTGTCAGGAATATAAGACACACAAGCCAGTGTTCACCCGATCGGAACACAGAGGACAGAAAAAGGATACACACACATATAAAACTTTACTCTGAAGTTCTGGTATGTAAAAGAGGTGGGTAATAACGTAAATTGGGCCAGTTCCCAAATTGCAATTATTTTAGCTGTTTACAATAGCATCATTATCATTCAGTAACACTGGTTGAACAGATAATAAAATTGTGAGTCTGGACGGATGAAAAGACGATAGCAAGTATGTCATATAATTCCCATCAAGTAAATAAATAGTTCAGAATCCATCATATTTCCATCATATAGTATTATATTCATAGTCTCAGCATATAGTGTATATCTTCATAGTCTCAGCAAGTTTCCTAAACCTATCAGCACCCCACGGTGTTTCTTAACAGAACCATAGCATTAACAAGTGATGAAAGAATACAATGAGCAAATGCATTGATTAAACATACTTTGAAAATTAAAGATGCAGATGCATGTGGCTTGATCAGCACATTGCGTCGTGACATGGACAAAAATTACTGAATCTCCCACAAAACAAATTATACGCTGTTAATAATTCAATACGACCACAAGCCAGTAACTCTTCTTTGGTATGTGTGTACAAAGGGATGTAACTATGAGAGGACAGAAATGACCTCTGTATCCATGTATACAAGTTCACCACAGTGGATTTACAAGGGGGATAACTCATGCCTCCTTAATTCGTTAAGATGTCCAAATTAAGTTTAGTCAAAATAGTACATTGAAAGTGTATGAACCGGACTACGCGAACGTAATTAGAATTCTGTTTGCTATCAAACGGTTACCGAGGCTATGGAACAACGCGTGTGATTAAAAAGCCTAACCAACTGTCGTGTGACAGGCCTTGGGTTTGACCTTTCCTACTGACCTTAAAGCACAGATAAAATACGATTGAAAATTAAAAAAAAGGTTAGGAAGAACGAACCATGTCGTAACTTGCATTCATTTTAAATTCTTTGTTTCACTCTGAACTAATCTGCTCTTTTTTAATTTTCCCACTGTGACATATATTTCTGATTATACGTGTCTTCGGTAACAAATTGCGTCCAAGTGTTGGCTCCAGATAATTCGTCCGAAATTTGGGGTTCCATTTGTACGATTGAATATTTCGAGCTCTGGGTCTTCGCGGGATTAATGGCAGGTATTTTTAATGTTCGGAGAGTTTATAGCAAAACTAAACTATCAGAGTCAGGGTAGACAGCCTCTGGTTTCATACGCGCGATTTTTTCTGAGACCACATTACAAATAATAATAACTTGCATCTGTAATACTATTGAATGAAACACATTCCTTTTTGCCTTTTCGTAAACACCTGGTATCATCACTATTTGATAGTGATTCATAAACACATGCTCTAGATACAGTCGGAATCGTACAACCGAATATGGAAAGGGGTTTGTCGCTTTTATTTTTAAAGCATCTGAATGATGCGGGACTACCCATGCGAAAAACGCATTTACTCGTCATGCTAATGCTGCTGGATTCAAGCTCGATCTTGTACCAGGCCATCGTGATGTGTCAGGACTATTGCCGACTGCAGAGTAAAACAACATACACCCACTCACTCATTCATATTTGTTAAACTTCTTTAAAAACATCAAGAGGCGACGAAATGGAGAGGGTGGTCCGACTCGGTGGTGACAATGTTGGTGTGTCATGAGATTATACCAGCTGGTCGGGAGGAATTATTTTACGACAGCTTCTATGCTGTTTGGTCCATCAAAGCCACTCTGAGGGACCGTCCATGATAATATTATTCCAATCCCTACCATCATCAACAGCCACCACAACCACAACCATAGGCACCACACCTAGATATCAAGATGTCGACCCATAAGAAAGATGAGTTTTTCAGCAGTGAGTCAGTGAGTATCGTTTTACGCCGCAATACTCCAGCAATATTACGACGGGGACACCAGAAATGGACTTCACACATTGCATCCATGTGGGTAATCGAACCCGGGTCTTTGATGTTACGAGCTTTAAACGCTTTAAAAACTAAACTACCCCATCGCACCAACATTGTGCGCGAACTCTTTAAACACTATGTTATCCCATATCCTGCAAAACATCTAAAAATATACTCCGACATTTGGTTAAGCAGCAAAACCGGTCGTCTTATCCGTTATTTCGAATACTAATGATAGGTTAAGTATTTTTAATTATGAAGTTACAAGAGATACCTCGAGTAACTGCGTTTCCAGTACATGAGGCTTCACTTTTCTTTTCAAATAAACCTATGTACAAACCCAGTATCGACTCCAGTGTGTACACCGGTACTTGGCTGATTTCAGTTTTCACTTCAGCTGCGCTCATCAGCTCAAGATGCATCATGTGGTACTCTGGCCTAGAACAGAAATAGATATTAACAAGTCATTCATTTGGTCTTGCTCCGTTACATGTCACGTGGACGTATGCACACGGCTCACAAATCAGGCGAAGTTAAGAAACGCTGGCGGCGGAGAGTAGTTGGATAGCTGACGACGTGAGGCAAACTTGACTAAGGTTTTGATATATACTTTCTCACTCTGAAACTGTACTTTAAGTATTGGGCCATGTTACAAACATGAGGAATTTTTTTATTAACTATACATGCTGAATATATGAGGGGAGTATAATATTATTAATGTTTCAGCGAGTTTTCTTGCATATCTTTAGCAGTTGACAAAGGAATTTACTTACTAGATATATCATTAGGGAAGAGAAGTTATGGATGTTAACTTTTTTGTTATTTATAACCATCCTCCATTTAACAAATGTTATATTTGGGATAACACTTTCTTAGTAAAGTACAGATTCTCGTACTTTTTTGGGTTGGGTCCCGTCCGGGATTCGAACCCACACTTGTCAAAGTGAGGCACCTAATCGCCAGCAAACAAAGTCAGCGATCTAACCCATTTAGCCACCGAGGCTTCCACAAAAAATGAAAGTCCGACAACTGGTAGTCTAGATCACGTACTTTGAGTACCCCTCTGACAAGTGTAAATTGGCACAGCTCCCATGGCCGGATGCTATAAATACACAATGCCAATAAGAAAGTGGTCAAATGTAACAAATGTTATATTCGGGATAACACTTTCTTAGTAAAGTACATATTCTCGTCCCGGAAGGGACTCCACCCAAAAAAGTACGAGAATCTGTACTTTAATGAGAAAGTGTTGTCCAAAATATAACACTTGTTACATTTGACCACTTTCTAAATGGCATTGTGTATTCATCCTCTATTTGCCTTTGATTGTGCACGTACTCACTTGACTATCTCACTGCTGGAGAGATAGGAATCAAACTCCGTCTCCACGCACGGTGCGGTGCAGTTACATCTCTCGTTGTGCTTACCAAACAGTGCTAGAGAGAAGGAAACACAATAGGTGTAAGTGCCATATGCCCTTTAAGGGATTTAATATTCCCGATTTCAATTTCACACTTTGGGGAGGTCGAAGTCGGTGTACGTAGTAGCATACGCAACTCTGGGCAAGTTTAAGGACTACGGTCTTTAAAACATGTTTATCCTGACAGCACACTAACCACAGAATTCTTCCGTAGTAACACGTAACCAGATCATTAACTAATCATTGCAACAAACCTAGATTTGGTCCATTAAATTTTTACTGCTAGTTATTTAACAGGAAGAGAAAAACCTCTCAAGACTTTGAAAGTAAAATCCCTTCGGAGGCCATTGGTTTTCCGCTGATTTCCGTGAAGGCAAATTTGTTGAAAGTACAAATGCAGAAAACATATCAAACTTTAATGACAACACAGGCGTTTCTAAGTAACAAGACGTTTAACGTTATGGGGAAGCGTCGATTATTTTGCGAAACTAAAATCAACGCTATACACAGAAACAAGTTCATCATCATCATACCACTGTGACAATTGCTGATACACCGAGGAAGTCTAAAGACGTGCAGAAACATTTCAGGTTTCTGTAAGTCGATGTTTTGCAACATTAAACTTGACTGGTGAAACACTCATCTTTGGTTTTAATTGGTTTTATACTTAAATATTAATATCTATATACACGTAAACTTTCCAAAACAGAGAGCGGGGGTGCTTGACTATCTGACTAACGAGGTTTCATTGTAGGAATAAGCAAACGTTAAAAAATCACAGTTATTGTTTATCTACTTACCAGTTTGCAATATGTATATGTGTCCATGGAATGAATAGCGTATAAAACGTTCTCTTTGTGTCGAATTTACCCTTTAGAATCCAAGTTTTAAAATTGTTATCGGACTGTGTTTTGAAGTATGTAAATTGTGTTTACTTTGTGCTGTGAGTGCGTTGTCTGCGACTCGTGATAGAACTCTATGTTCGTAGTTTCGAATCCCAGATTCGCTCAGGTTTGTCAGCACCATGCCCGTGCTCGAAATTCACTCACTCACTCACTCAGTGTGGTGTTAATTATAAACCCACTTAGTAACCAGGTGTTTCAAGAACGTGTTGACTTTGTGTTGGATATTTACCACTATCTACTCACCCTGTGATTCTTCCATACACTTGGGCGTGCCCTTTGAAGAACACATCTCCTCGTCACCTGTAGTAAAACATGAAACGTAAACACAGACCGGAACCATACAATGCTGCACGTTGTCTGATGGAAATCACAAGAATGTATCAATGAGTGACCAACAACGAGAAAAGGGGATAATGCTTAAAACTAACAACGAAGGACTTTCGTTATATTCACAGGAAGAATTTGAGACAAATGGAATTAATACCACGTGGATTCCAAACACCCCAAGGATTTGCTTGAATGTGTGCAACCTCAGAAAGTTCAACATTTGATTTTTCAACTTTGTGCACTGCTACCCCACATAATAAACTTAAGGAAAAACTTAATTTCTTGATCCATGGAACATTTGTTACTAAACGTGGTGACCATAGATATAGTTATATTCCACCTTCAGATGTTCAAGCAAATGAGTTCACGAAGAAAACAATATGTGAAATGTCGGACTTCCTCTTTGATATCATCTACGTGAAATGTTGTGATCTGATGTCGTTCAATAACCAAACATCAAACAGCCGATTCCCTTCCACGGATTTAACAACCAGAATTAGAAATAAAGGAGACCAGTGAGATCGCCTTGTCTGCTTCATATTTAGATCTATGCATAAAGATTCAGAGTAACAAAAAACTCTGCACAAGACTGTATGACCAGAGGGATGACTTCAACTTTCCAATAGTCAGTTTTGCCTTTATGTCAAGCGATATTCCATCAGCTCCAGCTTTTTGTGTTTACATTTCACAATTGTTTAGGTACAATCGAGCATGCTCTTTCCACGAAGATATGAAAGAGCGTTGTACGACTCGAAAGGTGTTTGATCAAGGTGACAACATTGACGGCCTCAGTGAAGCTTTCAAAAAGGTTTTTTGAGACACACGTGGAGGCCATTTTCAAATTGGACGCATTCGAGACAAACGTGATGATTCCCTATTTTGACTTGTACCGTGTGTTTCATTTTGTTCAACAATGTGGACCATTGGTTTTTTTTTCAAGTATGTTCAGGAACAAATTATATTTTTTGATGAAATCTCAGCCTCAACTCCCCCCCCCCCCCCCTCCCCCCTCCAGAATATCAAATGGTCGATCCAAAGATGTTTCTTTATTTTCTTTCTTGTATTACAGTGTTAGGTAACTCTCACGCTCAAACAGACTCTTATATTTCACACAACTAATTGATTTTTAATTTTGATGAAATATATTAATAGCACATTCTCAAAACAGATCAAGGACAGATTCATGCCGACCAACTGTCTATGATAACCATGGTATTCCAAAACCATATGACAACAGCAAATACCTCTTTTCGGATGCTTGTGTTTTATATCGCGAGTTATCTCATCATATTAACATGTTATATTATAAGCCTTTATAGGAAAGCGTGCTTCGTGCATTCATTAAATGTTTAACCAATATTTCATACTTCTCATAATTGCATTAATGTAAGTGGAAAATCGACCACATTCACCATACACTATAGCATTTGGTGTGTGTGGTCAAACATTAAGATTTTTTTTCAAGCAAATAAATGCATCTTGTCCATGCAATCAAATCTCTTAACACCCCATATCACCACAGCATAAAGTAATATTGATTGTATTTGGCTATCAAAAAGAACACTCTAGGGGATGTGAAACCCGGCTTTCCCATATTGACATTCAATTCAATTAATGCCCTTTTAGCTCATACAGACAAACCTAATACTAACTGCTTTATTCATGCTTTGACGTTTTATATTTACTTGAACTGGGTCGATCTTTCTGCTGGTGAACTGAGTTTCCCGAGCTTCATCATAAGCTCAGCAGCACTTATTTATGCTGAGTCAACTACAAAAGAAATGTTTTGGCCGATACATTAAACCCCCCCCCCCCCCCCCCCCCCCCAACCCCCCCCACCCACACACACTGTGTTGCAAAACAGATATATATCTTAAATGTTTTTCTTTAAAGCAGCAGCATCTCTGCTCTTGTACACAGTGAGTCGTAATTTCAAATAACTATACAATTTTCAACAAAATCAGCAAATGCACTTTCATGTCACTGGCCCATCCATCACTTGAATGTCTGGCTAGTGTACAGGCCGCCGTCAAATGGCATGAATGCTGCGTCAGGCAATTAATACATAATATTTATGCAAATTATGTGATCGGTAGCGAACACCTGGTGTCATCACTGATTTTCAGTGGTTCATTTATATAACTTTCACAGCTATTTTGCCCTTTCCGCGAAATCTATTTCGGCGGATATTCAAGACTGGTTTAATATTCTCTTGCATTTACATGTAAATAACAAAACTAGATACGTTTTGTTATTTGAAACATTGAGATAGTTACCCTTGTAAATCCATTTGCCAATTTGACAGACACGATACAACCTTTTCTGAATAACACAAAATTGGATTTATCTAAGTTCATCATATGTTCCTCTATTGTCAACTAAATATTTAAGACACTGTAGATCACCATTTGTATCTGATTCTAATATGACATCGTCAGCAACAAGCATGAAAATATGTAACGTATCTGAAATAGTTGTACACCGTGAATACCATGCGCAAGAATAACTGTTGAGAGTTCATTTACGTAAAAAGAGAATAATATTGGGGTTAGCATACAACCCTGCTAAAGATATCTGTGCTTGCATCAAGGTTACCACCCGTGAAGATCCGGGTCAGAATAGGTCTTCAGCAACCCATGCTTGTCGTAGGAGGCGACTAACGGGATCGGGCAGTCAGGCTCGCTGACTTGGTTGATGCATGTCATGGTATCCTAAATGCGTGGATCGATGCTCGTGATGTAAATCATTGTATTGTCTGGTCCAGACACGATTATTGACAGACCGCCGTCATGTATCTGGAATATTGCTGAGTTCGGCGTTAAACAACAAACAAACATCAAGGTTAATGCCTCAAGAAAACATATGCGTATACAATTATTATTTTGCATATTTGTAGTCACGCCACGGTTTTATTTGGAACTATATTGACTGTTGTCACTGTCCGACTGACATTTAACTGACCTAATGACGTAATATATGTTAATGCACACATTCAAAGAAAGCTTGCAATGTTTACGTACCCTTTATAAGAGATGAAAACAGATTTTTCTTTGACAGAATTCATAAAAGACCTATGATAAAGAGGTTATCACGCTTGTGTTTTTGAGGTGGTAAATATCCTATATAAGAAATAAACCCTATGTATATAAATGCAATGTTTATTCCTAGTACAGGATATTTACCATCCCAAAGTACACAAGTGTGATAACCTCTATTTACAATGTCGATAAACAAGTTTCGCATTCTCCTAATCTCCTAATTCACAATTCTATGAGAGGTCGACAGGAGAAACTATTTGTTCAGCGAAGCCATGTTATCAGAGGCGCAACGTTGACTGTAAACTTGTTCAGATTACCGATTAATGTCACATGTTGAGAAGACATGCAACATACTGCATACGATGGGAAATATATTCCTGAAAAGGACAACACCCTAACCATATTCACAAGAAATCCCAGCTAAAAGCAGAGTCGATTGTTCTATTCCGACTGTATCATGAACATGTGTTTATTTATTACTATCGAATAGTGATGATACCAGGTGTTCGCGAGATGGTGAACGTATCCTGCCCCACCGGTTCCTACCGTCACAAACACACGCAAATTGTCAAGTGTGCACCTGAAGAACACGGGAACGTATGGTAAAGTCAAAATAGGGAATTGCATCGGACATCATTTTGGTCTCTGATGCATTAAATTAGGAAATGGCCTCCACGTGTCTATTTTAAATCGTTTGGAGAGCTTTTCCGGGTCCTTGAATGCTGTATCCGTGATCAAAGAATGGTGTAACCTTGATACCAGACAGTACCACGACAGATGCGAGTACAGAGCTGTAAACAGTTGTCTCTATCTGCAAAGATTGCTGCAATCTGATCTATGTATTTACCTGGATGAAGAAAATATCGACATCCACAGTGGGCGATGGTGAAGTTGACAAAACACTCGGCTAGACACGCATCTTTTGTGTACGTGCCGTATCTAGTCAGAGGGTTTATGAAGCCGCTAGATTCTGTGTCAATGCACTGCTCACCAGTGAAGGACTTGTATGGCGTTGTGAGGGCTCTTCTCTGTCAGGATAAAATATCATTGTTCATCTTTTTATTGGTTCATTTTCTTCTGCCGTCTAGGTTCTTTATAATCCGAGAAGCAAAAGAAAATATACCTCTCAGTTGATTTTCGATTGAAAATATTTTAAGTAAGCGATATTACATGAGAAAATATATGTTTATTTTAAAAGTATTTGCGATTAGTCAGCACTCAACTCCACTCAACTTCTACTTTTTTATCTAATATAATTTGATTTAAAACTTTTAAGAATTGTTTTTCGCATAATACACAACTGCTTATGGGTACTTTTGACATGTTTTTGTATCTGAAAATCAATAAAAATGCTTTTATTTTATTCTATTTAAATTCATTTCTTGCCCAAGGCAGTTTTTACACAAAATTACCCAGCCTTCGATCACTTTTTACAAACTGTTGCAGGCATCAGCTATGGTTTAAAAGACATAATCGAATTGTCACATTTCTTTCAATGATCAATAACATAAGAAACAATATTTGATGATCCATTCTGAGGAATGGATACTTTTTAGTTTTGTTATCAACATGCGCAATTATAGTATGCGGTCTACAATAGCATACGGTTGCTGTACATCCATCATTCTATCATACTGGGTGTTACTAATTATCGTAAGTTTAGTCGAACCAAAATTTAGTTGAAGCTCAAAATCTAGTACTTCAACATTACATACTAAACTAGCGGGCAAAAGAAGTATACACTGGAAAATCCCCACTTTACTCTGCTCATTACTGTGTACTGTGATATCCCGACCCCATGTCCCTTGAGACGTCATGTGCTCGTCACCTGGTGTGAGATAATTATTGATATGACGCCTGCCTATGGTGCCTATATCAAATACATCACCATCGAATAATCATTTCCTTTTTATTTCATTTTTAGCCACCATCAAACATGGGTGTATTCTTTCTTTTGCCCGGCTGTGTGTTAAGTCCCTGATACCTGTCAAAAGGTAGATCGATATTGTAACATTTTCTTTAAAATTGCCATGTGATGTGCGTGATAGAAAAAGCATATGCATACTGACCATTCAAAAGAATTCAAACCTACAATTGTCTTCTTGTACTTGATGCGACAACTGGTGTTGACAGGTACGAAAACCTTTTTCTTCCGTGGAAACGGTGTTTCATCCTTCGTATGGAGAGTGACCTTGATTAACATACAAAACCTAGCTTAAAATAGAACTAATGTCTCATTTATTAGAAAAAATCCCAGGTGGTTGTTATTAACTTGTTAACTTCAATAATGATTATCCATATGTTAAGAAATAAATTAATTTTATTTGTATGTGCAAATCGTTAAGCAGAACACCCACTGTATTACACGTCTATAGCTGAAATACATGTACACATTTCACTCATGCACAGACACTATCACCATGGCGCCTGCAGCTGATACTATGCATGTACATACAATATAAATCATTTCGGTATTCCTGATGCATATTTACAAAATAATCTACGAGCTACTAGGCATTTCGGATTATCTGTCCCAAGTGAATTATATTTGTTCCGAACCTGTTCTGTGGGCAACTAGGACAATAATCCGAATCAGTTCCGAGCACTAACGAGGAACTTTAATTCACGAGGGACAGCTAAAAGTACTTCAGAGCTGCGAGTAGATTATTCGTTATATCACTCAAAGTCTTTTTTCAGAGACAATATAAAAAAACGTGGGCTTCCTGATCTAATGTTGTAACCTATGTGATCGACGTCACATAAAAACGTTTGTGACGTCATGAACAATGGATGATGTTTTCTTCAATTTTCTTCGACTAAGCATTCAAATGACGTCACGTTGCTGTAGGACTTCGTTTCAATGAAAACAATGGAGCAAAAGTAATAATGCTCATTGAGCATTGCGGACATTCTGTTGACCTGTGTCCGTACCCCGTTGGGTAATATTTAGCAGATTACTAACGGGATACGAGGGATGACGGATGATCTGTCCCGAGTGAACTAATGGTGTTTATTCCGAGTTTCCAGTTGGTTATTCTATATATTGACATTTACATTTTGATGAATGAAAAACTAAATGATGAAACACGTATGAGGTGTCAACCCAAAAGATAAACTAAAGATAAACTGAAGGCTGTCTGTTGATCAGTTATGTAATCAATTTGTGACGTCATGAACAATGGATGACGCCATCGTATTTTCTCAACGATGAAACACTGTTACGTATTATGGCTTCAACTACCCAGTCATCACAGAGAATCGCTAAAATACTCATGTGAAAATATCGGAGAGGTATTACACGCGACCATGCTTTACTTATGGGTAATAAACAGTTTATATACGTATAACTTATAACCGTGGTGATTCTGAAGCGAATTAGGACCGCAATACTCTGCTCGTCATAAGATCCAACAATGATGAGGATTGAATTTTTGACTGCGTGTCACCGTACTCCGACAACTTTGACAGTTGCTTGTGCTACCAACCAGTGTCTTGTCTAGATACAAGTCTATTATTAACAAGCTGATGTCACATAACTGGAACCAAGCTGACAACTGTAAAAGTACAAAAGTAACTCATTGTAGTACACCTACTTCTACTATGATATGAATTAATGTTATATTGGAATGAATATAAAAAATGAAATAGGGGTTTGTAAAAAACCCGATACATCACCGGCATAGATAGAATGCCATTAATGATACAGATACTGATTGTTAGATGTTGTCGTGTTACCTGCAGCCCAACTCTGTTTCCAGGGAACACCCACGTGAAACTAGGTTTCACTGCTAACACGATATCCAAAGGCACTTCAGCTGAACTCAAACTTGCATTCCTGGCCGCAAGAACCTCCAGGAACTCCGACGTCTTGAATGTGTTGCAGAACCCCATGTCTGTCACTACCTTCTTGTAGAACTCAGCCTTGGGGAAGTCCCACCCACTTCTGTCCAGAGACGCCGTTAGAAGTCGAGTTCGTTCTGTGCTGTTAGCTTTGTCAAGCAAACACTGCCCAGATTGGTCAGTGGCATTACAGCCTGGGTCATTGGACAGTACCAGCGTCTCCGTGTGGACAGCAATGTCCATATCTCTGAAGTCTTGGACTGCATTCCTCCAGACATCACTGTAAAAGGTGAATGCCATTGGTTCCTGGCTACATATCGTCACTTCCGGAATATCAAAGGCACTCATGGGTGTTTCCTGTATGTTGATGACTGTCGGCCATTCGTAGTAGTTCTTCAGCTGCATGGTTATCACGGCGCCTAAAGACGCCGCCATTGTGAACACCATGAGAAACCAAAAACATCTGAAAGAATAATATCCACTTTTGAAGTCTTTTTTGGAAAGACATTTGTCCTCAAGCATTGATGTCCCATGAAGAATACAATATATAAAAAAAACGTTATTCTACTCACGACCGTATGCATTGTATGCTGAGGTTAGCAGAGTAGCATATCTGTTTTTGATGGCGGCTAGTTTAAATTTTCAAAACTTTTTCTACTGAAAATAAGCAGGTGTATGTTACAAATCATCATGTCACATACAAAATTCTTCTTTTCGAAAAAATGTCACGTCACGTGTCCTTAAAATAGTCACATGGAACAAATAATGATATTCATCACCGAGATCATTACGATTACATCATGCACACATCCGTGCACTCATCACCTAGATCAAGAAGTTTTAAATTTGAAAAATATTCAAGTAAAGTTTCCAGGTCATTTTTAAGAGAGAGCACTCAAAGCTACGCGAGTTTTTGATATAGCTTACGGCTTGTGATGCAACAATTAATAGCTACAAGATATGTGGTCACTACCAGGGTAACAGTATTATATAAAAGGAAAGTGATGTAACAAGTTCGTTCGACAACACATTCATCAGTGTTGACTGAAAATACCCCTATTAACTATACACATACAGATTTAATACAATCGTACTTCGGCAGATTTAAATATCGTGACTTTTCGTTTCCGAGACAGAACTGACCACATTTCTTGTTTTTGGGATCATGTACACAAACACCGCACGTCAAAGCAAACAAAACATGGGACATAGTAAGTACAACTGCATATATTTCATGGAATAGAACGTTAACGTTTAACTTGCTTTATGTACACGAAACATCCGTTGAATAAACACAGTAACACAGACAAGTAGAAGTCAAAACTAATTATGATGTGTTGAGATAAGTACAGTGATCGGGGGAAACGATGGTGAGTTGTAGTAGTAGTAGTGGTAGTAGTAGTAGAAGTAGTGATAGTAGTAGTAGTAGTAGTGGTAGTAGTAGTGGTGGTAGTGGTAGTAGTAGTGGTAGTAGTAGTGGTGGTAGTAGTAGTAGTAGTAGTGGTAGTAGTAGTAGTAGTAGTGGTAGTAGTAGTAGTTGTTGTTGTTGTAGTAGTAGTAGTAGTAGTAGTAGTGATGGTAGTCGTAGTAGTAGAAGTAGAAGTAGTAGTAGTAGTAGGAGTCGTAGTGGTAGTGATGGTAGTCGTAGTAGTAGAAGTACAATTAGTATGATTTGGTAGTGGAAGCTGCAGCAGCAGTAGTAGTAGTAGTAGAAGAAGTATAAGCAGTAGTGTTGTGTCGGTGTAGGTGTAGTTATAGTTGTAGTAGCAGTAGTAGTTGTGGTAGAACTAGCAGTCGGACTCACCTTTGACCAGTGTAGATGGAATGGGCCACTGTGGATGGCAGTCCGTGCACGGTGGACTTGGCTGCATACTTGATGACCAGGTCTCTGATGCTGGTGTTGTCTTCCTCGTTGCCCTCCGGCTTGTTGTAAGCCACTGACTTCATGCTGAAAACAGAACAGCAAACAGTCAATCCAGTGATTGATATCGTTGCCCTCCGGCTTGTTGTAAGCCACTGACTTCATGCTGAAAACAGAACAGCAAACAGTCAATCCAGCGATTGATATCGTTGCCCTCCGGCTTGTTGTAAGCCACTGACTTCATGCTGAAAACAGAACAGCAAACAGTCAATCCAGCGATTGATATCGTTGCCCTCCGGCTTGTTGTAAGCCACTGACTTCATGCTGAAAACAGAACAGCAAACAGTCAATCCAGCGATTGATATCGTTGCACTCCGGCTTGTTGTAAGCCACTGACTTCATGCTGAAAACAGAACAGCAAACAGTCAATCCAGCGATTGATATCGTTGCCCTCCGGCTTGTTGTAAGCCAATGACTTCATGCTGAAAACAGAACAGCAAACAGACAATCCAGTCATTGATATCGTTGCCCTCCGGCTTGTTGTAAGCCACTGACTTCATGCTGAAAACAGAACAGCAAACAGACAATCCAGTGATTGATATCGTTGCCCTCCGGCTTGTTGTAAGCCACTGACTTCATGCTGAAAACAGAACAGCAAACAGTCAATCCAGCGATTGATATCGTTGCCCTCCGGCTTGTTGTAAGCCACTGACTTCATGCTGAAAACAGAACAGCAAACAGTCAATCCAGCGATTGATATCGTTGCCCTCCGGCTTGTTGTAAGCCACTGACTTCATGCTGAAAACAGAACAGCAAACAGTCAATCCAGCGATTGATATCGTTGCCCTCCGGCTTGTTGTTAGCCACTGACTTCATGCTGAAAACAGAACAGCAAACAGTCAATCCAGCGATTGATATCGTTGCCCTCCGGCTTGTTGTAAGCCACTGACTTCATGCTGAAAACAGAACAGCAAACAGTCAATCCAGCGATTGATATCGTTGCCCTCCGACTTGTTGTAAGCCACTGACTTCATGCTGAAAACAGAACAGCAAACAGACAATCCAGTCATTGATATCGTTGCCCTCCGGCTTGTTGTAAGCCACTGACTTCATGCTGAAAACAGAACAGCAAACAGACAATCCAGTGATTGATATCGTTGCCCTCCGGCTTGTTGTAAGCCACTGACTTCATGCTGAAAACAGAACAGCAAACAGACAATCCAGTGATTGATATCGTTGCCCTCCGGCTTGTTGTAAGCCACTGACTTCATGCTGAAAACAGAACAGCAAACAGTCAATTCAGTGATTGATATCGTTGCCCTCCGGCTTGTTGTAAGCCACTGACTTCATGCTGAAAACAGAACAGCAAACAGTCAATCCAGTGATTGATATCGTTGCCCTCCGGCTTGTTGTAAGCCACTGACTTCATGCTGAAAACAGAACAGCAAACAGTCAATCCAGTCATTGATATCGTTGCCCTCCGGCTTGTTGTAAGCCACTGACTTCATGCTGAAAACAGAACAGCAGACAGTCAATCCAGTGATTGATATCGTTGCCCTCCGGCTTGTTGTAAGCCACTGACTTCATGCTGAAAACAGAACAGCAGACAGTCAATCCAGTCATTGATATCGTTGCCCTCCGGCTTGTTGTAAGCCACTGACTTCATGCTGAAAACTGAACAGCAAACAGTCAATCCAGCGATTGATATCGTTGCCCTCCGGCTTGTTGTAAGCCACTGACTTCATGCTGAAAACAGAACAGCAAACAGTCAATCCAGTCATTGATATCGTTGCCCTCCGGCTTGTTGTAAGCCACTGACTTCATGCTGAAAACAGAACAGCAAACAGACAATCCAGTGATTGATATCGTTGCCCTCCGGCTTGTTGTAAGCCACTGACTTCATGCTGAAAACAGAACAGCAAACAGTCAATCCAGTGATTGATATCATGAGCATCGATCCGCGCAAATGGGATACGACGACAAGCATCAACCAAGTCAGCAGGCCTGACCACCCGATTCACGACAACTATCGGTTGCCGAGGACCCACTCTCGGATCTTCACGAGTCTCACATACAACTACACGTTTGTGACAGAAACCGTCTGGATTTCAAAATGCGAAGTAATGACCAATGGCATGCATACATTATTTTCATCGTAGATAGAAATAAAAACAATGACCATTAAAGAAGTTAATTCTATATTTCCAGAATGTACAGAAGAAATGTATAGGTGTGTCTTAACTCGTGGAATACAACATGCAATACAAATGACAAAGTCATCTTCATTATCATGGGGTCTAATGTACGATTCCGACTGTTTCATAAGCATGTTTTGCGTAATGAGTGTATCCTGCCTCGCCGGTGGTACTCGTTACACACACATGCAAACACAAGTCAAGTGTTCACCTGAAACATATGGTACAAGTCAAAATAGGGAATTGCATCGGATATAATTCTTTGTCACTGATGCGTCAAATTTAGAAATGTCCTTAAATGTTGCAACCCTAAAAACGTTTGAGCAAGCGCCGCACGACGCTCTTTGAAATCTTCGTCGTTACTTTCGTCGTTTCATTAGTTTCCTGTAGTGTTTATTTGGATGCCAATAGTGTAGATGGAAGCCCAGCGAACGAAATATACTAAACCAAATTAAAAGCTTCACGATCCCAAAATTTTATCATTTTGACCAGTTATCATTGTGGGCCCTTATTATGTATTTAAACAGTAATGGCCACGTATTGTCTTCAGATAACACCCGTTTTTGTGCAGGTGAATCAATCAAAATCATGTGCACAGCACTTTAGTGGCAAAAGTGTTTTTTCACGTGCAACTGGTCACGTGGCCATAATACCGCACGTGTTTTCAGCCATACTTGTTAGCAGTCATTAACAAAAAAAGAAAAACACAAGAAAACAATAGTCTTTACGGCCATTTGTCATGCCACGCCTTTCAAATGTGCAACGTGAACGTGCCATCAGCATGTTGCAGACGGGAACGTCCGTAGCTGAAGTCGCAAGGACGATGGGTTGTAGTCGACGGACTATTTATGATTTACAGACGCGTCTACAGCAAACGGGTACTACTGCTGATCGCCCTCGGCCAGGTTGACCACGTGTGACGTCACATGCAGAGGATCGTCAGATTGTTTTACGTCACCTCCGTAACCGATTTTTGACGGCTACATCAACCAGAAATGAACTGTTTTGGGGTAGACTGAGTGCGCAAACTGTTCGAAACCGTCTGAGAACTGCTCACCTTCAAGCACGACGGCCATATTGCGGGCCGATTCTGACTCAATTACACAGACGTCAATTGTGGGCACAGCGACACTTACGATGGACTCAGGGGAATTGGAATCAAGTCGTCTTCAGTGATGAATCCCGATTTAATCTTCGATTTGCTGATGGTAGGGCGAGGGTGTGGAGGCGCCGTCATGAACGTTACGCCCAGTGTTGTGTACAGGAAGTTGACAGATTTCGAGGCGGAAGTTTCATGGTGTGTGGTGCTTTCTGTGGCAATGCACGTTCCAGGCTTCTTGTCATCCGTGGCAACCTCAACGCTGCTGCTTACCGCGACCAGGTACTGGCACCAGAACTTCTGCCTTTTATGGCAGCACATGCACCCGGTTTGATCTTCCAACACGACAATGCCAGACCCCACACAGCAAGTTTGACAAGGAATTTCCTTCCGCATGCGGGAGTCAACTTCCTGGACTGGCCGTCAAGGTCTCCCGACTTCAATCTCATCGAACACGTCTGGGATGCTCTTGGCAGAAGTCTGCGCACTCTCCAGAACCAACCACAGAATTTGCAAGATCTTGGCACCATTTTGCAGCAACAATGGCGTCGTCTTCCAAATCATGTGTTCACAAGCATCACAAGGTCCATGCGGAGGCGTTGTTTGGCAGTTGTTAACGCACATGGGGCCATACACTCTACTGAACTTGTGTGCCATCAGATTCTCGTGAAGTTTTAAATTTGACTAAGTATAGTTATGGCTTTTATTTACCATTTGCCAGTATGAAATAATAATGTTGACAGATTTTGACAGGTTTTCTGTTTGTGTTAAGATATGGTCAAGTTAAAGTTTCTTGGTTTGTCAGCTCCAAACTCGTGTTCGTTGGTTTGAGTAGAATGGTAAACGCACTTCCCACAATAAGCTGACTCAATATGACAGTAACTGAAATTGTTATCAAAACGAGGACGATGGGGTAGCTCAGTGGTTAAATCATTCGCTCGTCACTCTGAAGATACGGGTTCGATTCCCCACATGAGCACAATGTGTGAAGCCCATTTCTGGTGTCCACCGCCGTTACATTGCTGGAATATTGCTAAAAGCGGCGTAAACCCACACTTACTCACTGACTCATTCAAGGCGGTAACTCACACACACCGTACGAGTGAGTGAGTGAGTATGGTTTTACGCCGCTTTTAGCAATATTCCAGCAATATCACGTCGGGGGGCACCAGAAATGGGCTTCACACATTGTACCCCTGTCGGGAATCGAACCCGGGTCTTCGGCGTGACGAGCGAACGCTGTAACCACTAGGCTACCCGACCGCCCCTCCCACCGTACGAAACATTAAGCCTCATCTGTACTCAATCAACACGGGTCTATATGTAGTACAACATGGCAGCATCGCTTCATCACAGATGCCAAAGCAGTTTTAACGGAACGTCACTTGGTACTGTGCATGCTGTAGGTGGTAAACATCATCTGCACTGTACATGCGCATTATCGAAAATGACATGACGATGTTTCACATCAACCTTTTCCCGCTTCCATACGTCATCACGGATGCCACAATTTCTTTGAACATATGATTCACCATTACTGTGCATGTGTGTTAATTGATAGCAACAGGCCATGTTTACTTGTTGCATGTTTTGCGGATGTTAGTATCATCTCAGAAACCGTAAAGCAGTTTTATAAAGGCCTGTAAATGACATTCAATTATCTTCTCAGACGTCGTAAACAATCTCAATTTAACCTATAGTGCATGTGAAGTCTCTTGACATCTGTCATATAGCAGTCTTAATATAGTTTGCCAAGTTCCTCACTGGGTGTGTTGGGATTTTAAAAATTCTTC